AATTTGAGACAATAACCTAATTTTCCTCTAAAGTTCTTTTGAATGAACCTCTGTCTGTGATTCTGAAAAGTATATAATTTATAATTTTATGATTGATATTTTTTTTTTTTTTTTTTTTTTTTGTCAATTTCTAAATTAGTGATCATCCTATTCATAAAATCCTTTCCCACATAACTGCATGTTTGCCGTCACACACATGGATAGCTTTTACTTCTATAAGCAATATTCACAGTCAATGCCCCTCGGTCAAAGTCATAATCAAACCCAAATGTCAGAATGGAAAAATAATGTCATCATTCCATGTATGCCGGTGTTCAGCAATAACAAGAATAAATCATAAATGTGAAAAACTCATATAAAGGCATCACAGAAACCATTTAAGTAATAAATATACATACATATACATATATTATCAATAAATAATCAAATCACCCTAATCTAACAAATAAATAACCAAAAAGGTGAATTTTTGGGTAAAAATTACTTTATTTAAACCACTTATGAGGGGGCTTCAAATAGTTTGTGGAAAAAGGACTGTATGAAAAAACAATTTCAGTTATGTTTACTTTTCCGTTTCAGTAGAACTACGGGTCTTGTGATCTCAACAATATCAGAGCAGCTCTTTTACATTTTCAACTGATGGAAAATTGGTTCCTTTTTTCAACTTTGGAAACAAAAAGAAGTCAGATGGGCTAAATCAGGGCTGTAAGGGGATGTTGGATGATTTCCTATCAAAATTCACATAGCACAGCTCTTGTTTGCTGAGCACCATTAGCAAGTGCATTGTTGTGGAAGAGGATGCGTTGATGCATTTTTCCAGGGCATTTTTCCGAGATTTGCTTTGGACAATTTTCTCCAAACACCTTCATAATAAAAAGATTCAATTGTCTTCTTGTTCTTCAGGAAGTCAACTAGCAAAATCCCTTCTGCATCCCAGAGGACAGTGGCCGTAACCTTTCCTCCAGAACGCTCAGATTTTACTTTGACTGGTCCAATTCTACCCGTGGCAGCCACTGCTTTGATTGAATTTTGCCATTGGGATTGTACTGATTGAGCCATGTTTCATCCCATCACAATCCCACTTGCTCAAAATTTCCATTGAAAGATCTGTCCTTGTTTGCTGCTGATCTTGGTGCAACAGCCTAGGGACCCATCTAGCGGAAAGCTTGCTTAGTCCCAAACTCTCCACAAGAATTGCAGAACCCACGGAGATATTGAGTGTATCTGCTACCGATTCAGTGGTTATTCGTCTATCCTTTTCAATCAAGTCACGAACTGCATCAATGTCTTCCTCACAAACTGAAATTGTTGGCCTGCCACTGCGGGGCTCATCTTCAATTTTGTTTTTTCCACTTCTGAAGCGACTTATCCATTTTTAGGTTGTTGACTTTGGGGCATTATCACCATAAACTTGTTTCAGAACGTTAATGATTTGCCTATTCTCCCAACCAACTTTCAACATGAACTTTACACTTGTTATGGTCTTGATTTTGGAGGATTTCATGTTGCTTGAATGGTGCCCAAATTTCAACTGGCAGCAATGCATTCTTACCTGCATTTAAGGGTTCATGTTTGAACATGTTATGACATGTTAGTACAAGAATGTTCAGGTGCATTGAAATCAAAATCCTTCCCAACATTTTTAGTTATGGACTTTTTCAACAAACTTTTTGAATCACCCTCATACATTACTACCTACTTTGGCTGATGAGGAACTGTTGATGAGTTCAAAACATCACAATTCAATTTCATTTCTTATTGTTATATGTGTATGTATATATGTATATAAGTGTATGTGTATATGTATATGTATATGTATTATGTGTATAAGTGTATGTGTATATGTATATGTTATATGTATATGTATATATGTATATATATGTATATATGTATATATATATATATATATATATATATATATATATATATATATATATGTACATAAACATATACATATATATATATATATATATATATATATATATATATATATATATATATATATATATATATATATATATATATATGGGGCAGTGTGTTAACACAGAATTGACATCTCTGGCAATGAACAAATTATGCACATGACAAAATAAAGTAATAGACAGAAAATGTCTTTTTAGGATTTCAAATATGTGAAAATGTGCAGCAAACCTGTGCTAATCCTTACAGTGCAGTAATTCATGGACAAAAGGGAGGGGTAGGGAAGTACTCTAACATACACTTCTCTCTCTCTCTTTCTTGGCAAGAAATATTGGGTTATAAAAGCTTTTAAAACTATTTCCCAATAACATGCTCCTGTTAATGGGTATCATGTGGTGAAAGATAGTGGGAAAGCCAGTCTCAAGTTTTGAGAATGGTTAGGCATTACTGACAACCACAAGAGATGAGTTTAAAAGAGCTCTGAATGTGGTTGCAGTAACCTAAAAGGTTTAGTAATCTTCATATATTATTTTTCTTATTTCTTTTTAAGTCATACTCTAGAAGAGCAACTTACTGACAA